ATACCTGGCTCATATTACCATATGTGGTGGACTTGTGAGGACGCTAGAAAATATTGGACTAAAATTCGCATATGGTTGGAACAAATGACAAAGAAACATATAGACTTGAAACCAGAGATTTTTTTTATTGGGAATTTTACCTGATACATATAATAAAAATTTGAAGTATTTGATTGTAAATGTATTAACAGCGGCTAGGATTGTATTTGTTAAAAATTGGAAGAGTGAGAAAATTCCATCAGAGGAAGAAACTATTAAGAAAATATTGGATTGTGCTGAAATGAGTGGATTGACATTTGAAATTAGAGAACAAGAAGATAAACAATTTTATGAAGTTTGGGATCTTTTTTATCAATGGTTAGATAATAAAACATAATAATAGAATATTTAGACTTAGGATATAATGAATATGTATTTTCTTTTTCTTTTTTCTTTGATATTACTTTTATAAAACTTTATCAAGATAGATTTGGTATGATTTTATGATTTGTTGTAAAATAAATTAAGTAAATTATAGTTATCTCGTTAAAGTATGAATTAACAAAATTATAGTTAAATGATTTCTTAGTAACGATACTAGGTTATACAATTGTTGATTGATAATATGAGTTATTGTGTAATATAACTATAATGGCGTCTAGGAAACGGATCCACAAAAAAGTGGTAAACCAACCAATACACTGTTTGTAAATCTATGAAGGAGGATGATGTTTTTATGTTTTATGTTGTATGTTTTATGTGGTTTTGTTTGTTGTTAAAATCAATAAAACTTTTAAAAAGAAAAAAAAGAAAAGAAACTGGGCAATGTCTTTAGTTAGCCCCAAGCATTTGTGGTGAGCATACGTGGCACACTACATGGTACTCTCATCCTCATTGAGTGCTTCTGTACAGATGAAGCACATGCAGGGGTCCTGTGACTCATCAGTAGCAATCTCCTTCTTTTGGGGTAGGGGTTTGGCAGTAGAGTGTTTCCCTGGTAGGATTGATGTGGGAATTTCTTGCATGTTAACTTTGCAGGTTTACTTTGCTCGCTCCCTGCTCTCCCCAGCTTAGCTGTTTTTTGTGACTGTCCTTCAAGGGGTACACTTACTCCAATTCTTTATATCTCATAAATATTATGCAGTTAATATGGTTAGTTAAAAAAAAAAGTACAGTGCGAATTCTTTAACTAATGAAAATATTTCCTGACTCAAGCTAAAATGAAAAATTAAAGTCGCTGAGATGCTTAGCTCAAAGCAATATAGGCAAATTAGGAGACAAAATGGTTCATACTCTGAAAATGAGAGTAAATAGTCTAAGATTAATTATTTCTAAGAAAATATAATATTTCTACAGGAAGAAAATAATGGTTAGCACTCAATTACTTTATTAATTATCTTGTGCTGCTGATATAAAACAACTTTTTATTGAAATATTACTGTGGTACTATATACCGGGGTAGGATTCTACCGCTTCGCACCGGTTCAATAGAGCTGGTTGTTACGATTCCTGGTAGTTTGGAGAACCTGTAAAACAGGCCCCTGGCTGGCCCCACCCCTCTCTGCCCACCCATCCATTCACTGCCCAGTCAGTCTTTATTTTGCATGTGCAACATCGCACACATGCACAACAATCACTGACGGCATTCTCCCCCACCTGCCCCGCCCAGTCACTCCTTATAGCACATGTGCACTACATTGTTTCCCACATTTTCCCATCTGCTGCCATCGCTTTCGGCAGCAGCAGCTGCCACCAGACAGACAGCCATTGCTTCCTGCCTTCCACCACCTGATCTCCCTAGGTGAGTGAGGCTCTACAAGCCCCGGTCACCTACAAGCCACTGCTACTGCCAACCCTGGTTGAGTCGTGACTCCTGGGCTGGCCTAGGCCACCACCGCTGCACCACCACCACCACCCTCGCCCTTGCTGCCAAAAGCCCCGGTTGAGTCCTGACTCCCAGGCCAACCTAGGCCACCGCCGTCATGCCACCATCACCCTCAGCACTCATGGCCTAGCTAGTTTCTCTCCCCAACCATCCCTGTCTGCCTTGCTTAGCCACCAGTGCCACGGTTCCATGAAGCACTCGCGGCCTAGCAAGCTTCCCTCCCACCCCACTTGCCTGGTTTGCTGGTGGCCGAGAGGAAGGTGAGCCAGTGCTGATCCGTCGCCGCTTGGGTCCCCACAAGCCTGCATCTCACCCCTGCCTGGATTGTCTGCAGCTGGTGGGCCTTGGTTATTGAGGGGGGGCGACCAAGGAGCATGATGCTATGGCTTCCATATCACTCCTTGCCTACCACCCCTTCTCTCTGCCGCCCACTTGGCCGCCACTGTGAGAATGATGCAAGTCAAGCCTCGCAAGAGCAGATCTTCCTTCCCCGCTATCAGCCTTATCTTCCAGCCCATGGAGCTCGCACAGCGGTGGCCCACACTCAACTAAAACACTTGGCCCGGTGAGGGAGGGGCGATGCAGGCGGCTTAGCCTCGTGCTTCCTGATTACCTCCCGCACCTCCCTCCCAGCAGCCTGTGGAAGCAGTGGGTGGGCCATTGGTAGGCTTTACCCAGATGTCAGGAAGGCTCTCTGTTCTCCTACAGCATTGTCCAGATCAGGCAGGGAGTGTGCCTCACATGGGGAGGCAAGTCAGAGGCCTCAGACAAGGCAGGCTGTTTCGGGGGGCTGTGATGGTCAGGAACCAAGGAGGAGGAGGAGGAGGGAAGTCTGGATCTTTGGGATCCCTTTCAAGTTCAACTTCTGGGCGCTCCCTTGGCCAGCTGGGCTTAGCGGCATCCAGGGGGAGGCAGCTGCTTTTGCAGACAGGGAGGTTGCTGGGGCGGTGGTGCCGGGCTGTGTGTGTGTGGGGGGCACATCTGCAGGGGCCTTTGCCTCGGCCATGGCTGCCTCTTCCGATGTCATCACCCTGGCTGAGGGGTGATGCCGCAGCCCCTCCGGGAAATCCTGATGCCGAGGAGCCGTGTCCGGGGCTCAGTCTGCCCCTCTGGCCACAGGACCCTCACCCAGCACCCTGCACCCTGCCTGACATGCGGTGGCCTCAGCACGGCCTGCTCTTCCTGCTGGTGGGTGGTGCTGAGCGGCCAGAGTGGCGCAACAGCTGGGGAACTGTGTCTGGGGCTCAGTCTGCCCCTTGCCTGCCACTCCATAGCCTGCCTGACCTGTGGCAGCCTTGGTGTGGCCTGCTCTTCCTGCCAGTGTGTGGTGCCAAGTGGCCAGAGCTATGGCAGGGAAAGTGTGCAGCTGGGAAGTAAGTTAACAAGTGACATTGGAAGCGTGTGTGTGTGTGTGTGTGTTAGGTGGTTCTCCTAGCTTTAGAAGAAGAGAGGGAAGGAGGAAGGGAAGGGATAGAAAGAGGGGGAAGGGAGAAAGAGAGAAACAGAGAGGAAGAGAGGAAGAGGAAGAGAGAGAGGGAAAAAGAGGGGGAGAGAGAGAAAGAGAGAGAAAGAAGAAAAGAGAGGGAAAGAGAGAGAGGAAGAGAGAGAGAGAAAGAGAGGGAAAGAGAGGAAAGAGAAGGAAGAGATAAGAAAGAAAAGAAAGAAAAGGGAAAGAAAGAAAAAGGGAAAGAGAAAGGAAGAGAAAGGAAGAAAAGAGATAGTCAAAAAAAGAGGGGGGATAGAAGGAAGGGACAGAAAGAAAGAGAAAGAAAGAAAGAAAGAAAGGGAGGGAGGAGAAAGTGAATGAGATATATGGATGGGTAGATAGATACACAGACAGAGGGAGGGAGGAAGAGAAAAAAGAAAGGAGAGAAAGGAGGCTGGCTTCAGAAGACTCTTTGAAATAGCACAGCAATCCAAGGCTTGCCTGGAAGGGATCTCGGAGATCATCTTCTAGTCCAATCCCCTGCTCCAGCAGGAGATCCTTTCAGAATCATAGAATAGCAGGGTTAGAAGGAAGTGTGTATGTGTGTGTGCGTGTGCGTGTGCGTGTGTGAGTGCATGGCTGTCAAAACTCCAAAAACAGGTTAAGTAGTTCTGGGGAGGTCAGTCATAAATTAGAACACTTGCTAAGCAATTGGCCACTAAGTGAGGACCACTTGGTTTGCCAGTCACATGGCCACATGGCCATGCCCACCCAGTCATATGCACACCAAGCCATGCCCACCCAGTCACATGACCTCCAAACCATGCCCAGCCAGTCACGTGATCACCAAGCCACACCCACAAATTAAGCCACGCCTACAGAACTGATTGTTAAAAATTTTGAATCCCACCCCTGCTATATACTGGTAATATTTGACAATCAATGTAACCATTACAACTTCCACCAACATGATTAAACTCACTGGACTAGTGGAAAAAACATGGATCTGTTCCAACATTAACAGTTTTAAAATGTTTATATCCTGACTAAAGATAGAGTAAAAGACTTTATGTTTCATATGCACAATCATGTTTTTTTCCCTTCTATGAAAAATGTCTGGTACAATTGGTCTACATTTTATAAAGCTGAACGCCACAACCCTTGTCTATTGGTTGTCTATAGAGAGTAGTTATTAAAATTTCATAAGTATGCCTACCTTCCAATAGTTAACGTACCTTTATACCCATAAAAAGTGAAGGGTAAACCCAGAAATTTTATAACCACTATCTGAAACAGGTAATAACTGAGTCACAGTCAAATTGCATTTATTATACATTGTGCCTTTAACAACTGCTTTGGGATCAAGCCATAGAGAAACAGTATACTATGACAGATGTCATATAATCTTGGTGTCTTAAAAAATCCAGTTTCCATTTAATGATGTTAAAGTTTTGGCTTTTTGGCAAAGAAAGACATGATAGAGCAAAGTTTCTTGGCACACAATAAAATTAAGTTTGTGGTGAATGAATTATCCAATCCAACTAACTCAAGAATATGCCATTTTTATGAACAAGTAAGACGTGTGCAACACTTAGCAAGCATGAAGAAAATGAGAAATGAAACCAAAAGTTCATTGGTATCAAAAACCCTTAAAGAGACAAGTACCTGGCCTTCTACATAAACATGCAATTTCTATAGTTCCCTTAACATGATATGCATATATTTTTCCTGAAGATATAATTGTGATAGAAGAGATAATCTTCAGGACAGCATCTGAGGCCTGCAGGTATATAAACCACCACTGCTTTAATCTGAAACACTTAATATAGCTTGGTAACTCTAAATATTTATCAACTAAATAGTTATATTTTAGCATTCTGAATAACCTACAGAGGCAAATGACATGAAACTTTATCACCAGTAAAGTGCCTTCTTATGTCAAATCAAATTTAATTGCCTGAGAGTCTGATGAAGGAGTTTGTTGTTCTTGCAAGATATGGAAGACAAATTTGTTCAGTACTTCTCTTTAATTTGAAGAATGAAATGAAATAAGACATGAACACAAAATGGTATCTTTAAGATTTGAAAAAAAACAGTAACAATATATCTAATGTTTCTATATATTCATCTGGAGAACAGAATAGACATCACTGCACTTTTGAGGGGTTCTTTCAGAGGCTGAGAACATTTCTTCTTTGTTTTCAAAGACATGTTTACTTCTACCCATGATAGTACAGGCCATTCAGAAATAAAGCTCAAGAATTCATGAAAAGGTGCTGAATGGCTAACATTTAAGGCAGGTACCAGAGGAAAAAAATATCCATCAACTTAAAAATGATGTCAAATGAAACATCTAAAAGTATTCAGCAAACCCATATTCTGGCAAAGCAAACATTTCATAACTTCTCTAGAAGCTGAGAGGCGACTTCCAAAACATGCACTACCGAAAGCAGAAGATGCCAGCATTAACATAGGCAAATATTATCTACAATCACTTCTGAGCTTCTCTGCCCCATTTATTAACTGCAAGAGTTTGGAAGGATCTTCTTTCCTACCTTTTCTCAGATAAAGAAGTAAAAAAAAAGTACCACAAGACAAATGACAAATCATTTACATAATTTTCCCAAGAAAGCTGCAGTGATGCAGTCAATAAATACAGAGCTCCACACAAGAACGTATCTACTTTTCATTCAACAATATTTAGTTTGTGTGGTTTATAACACTATGATACTTAAGCACTTTAAAGATAAGTCTGAATCATCCTAAAAGCAAACCAACCACAACCAGTAAGATTTCATTCAAACTTGTGTCAATCAAGTCTCACTGCTTTCATTATGCTTGCTCCAAAATCAATAGTTTATTTGTTATAACATCTCTCTAGGCTTTTTTTTTAAGGAAAAATAGGTCATAAGTGCCAACAAAATAATTAGCAAGTATATGTTGAAAAATATATTCTCCTTTTCCAATAGGCAATTTAACTGATGTATTTGCAAAATTAGCATATATAGTATTCATTTATAGTAAATGTTCAATGGATATAGAGCTTGACTTCTACTCAACCTCACTCAGGGGCCTCAAGCCAAATAAATCAAGTTCAAATTAATATAAGACCAGAAAACAATATAAAAAAGACTTTTTACCTTAACATAGCACCCAAGCTTTTCTTTTTTGTTTTTCTTTCAGGATTGTCATTCTCTTCTTTTTTGTCCTTTTCATTGATTTTCAATTTGTTTTTGAGATTCGTTTTTTTATTTTTTTCCTTTGTTTTCAATTTTTCTTTGGTCTTCTTGGGTTTTTTTGTCTTTCCTTCCATATCTTCTAAGTCAGAATTTGTGTGAAAGGCTTTTGCAAAGTTCTGACCTTCTGGACCAGAAAGGGAACTCTTATCTGACAGACCATCTGCAGAGTAAAAAAAGCAATCAGCAAGTACAGTCAATAATCTTATAAACTACATACAGGTAGTCCTCAACTTACAATAGTTCACTTAGTGAACATTGAATGCTACAACAGCACTTTAAAAAGTGACTTATGACTGTTTTTCACGCTTAGGACCATTGCAGCTTCCCTGTGGTCATGTGATCAAAATTCAGGCATTTAGCAACTGACTCATATTTATGATGGTTGCATGTTCTGCCCCGGGGTCTTGTCATCACTTTTTGAGACCTTCTGACAAACAAAGTCAATGGGGAAGCCAGATTCACTCAACAACCATGTTACCAACTTAATAACTGCAGTGATTCACTTAACAACTGTGGCAGGAAAGGACATAAAATGGGCCAAAATTCACTTTACAACTGTCTCATTTAGCAACTGAAATTTTGGGCTCAATTGTCATCAGAAGTTGGAGACTATCTATACATATTTGATTAATGTGTATAAGTTTGGGGTGGCACTATCCCAAACAGACCCTGTACATAATCTAGGGGTTTTCCTGGACTCATGTCTCCTGCTCAAAGAGCAGATGGCAATGATGGCCAGGAAGGCCTTTGCACAATTGCGGATTGTGCACAAGTTACGCCGTTTCCTAGACCAACGGTCCCTGCTCACAGTCACTCATGCCCTAGTCACTCCCTGTCTTGATTATTGCAACGCGCTCTACATGGGGCTGCTCTTGAAGAACATCCGGAAGCTCCAGTTGGTGCAAAATGCAGTGGCCTGCATGGTTTTGTGCAGACCCCGGTGTACACATGGTTCACTTCTCCTGTGGGAGCTGCATTGGTTGTCGATTTGCTTCCGGGTGCAATTCAAGGTGCTGGTTGTCACCTTTAAAGCCCTTCATGGATTGGGACCAGGTTATCTGAGGGAACATCTCTTGCTGGTCACATCTACCTGACCCATTAGAGTGGGGAGACAGGGAATGCTCCCTCATCCCTGAGGGAGATACACCTGTGTGGACCCAGAAGAAGGCCTTCTCCATGGTGGCTCCCTCTCTCTGGAACATCATTCCCCTAGAGATTAGAATGGCCCCCTCACTAATAGTCTTCCAGAAGGCACTAAAGAACTAGGTCTGCCAGGGGGCCTGGGGAACCCAAAGCAGGATGGAGCCCATCAAATGGCTCATGTGATCTCATGTCATCTAGGCGGCGGATGGGAGTTGGGAGGTTATTTTTTTTTAAAAAATATTATTTTTCCCCATATTTTGTTCTATTGTACTTTATTAATTTGATTCTTTTTGTTAGTTTTATGGTTTTTTATTTTAAATATGGTTTTACATTCTGTAAGCCACCTCGAGTCACCATGGCAATATAAATTCAATAAATAAATACATAAATAAGCAAAACAAATTTTCATAAATTGCAAACAAAAGATATTTCCAGCGATCCTGTTATAACTGCAGAGGTTGCATTACAATGGATGTTCATCTAATTCTTTTTGTTAGAAAGACACTAAATCTAACTGGATAAAATTGTTCGTATTATTATCCACTTATTATATTTGGTCATATATATCCTGCTTGAGACCAAGTTTATCAAAGTTTACATTTACATATACACACATTATTGAAATCTTGATTCAGATAGTACCTAGTAAGTTCACACACACAAAAAAGATACAATGTTAGATAATGCATTAACATTGAAAGAAGGGTGGTCTTTGGTCATTATATTTAGAATATGAGAGAACTGTCCTAAGAATTGGGCACAGATACATACATAGATGTACACATATATCAAGATGGAAAACTAATATCTACTAATTGATCAGATCAATATATGATCACCAGCCACGTTTGCAGAGATGACAGGTTAAGGTCAATTCAAGAATCCCAATATAGTTCCCTACATAGTCTGCACTATAGTGTGTATGGTTCCATATGCAAAACTGGATTCAACTCTTCTTTAAAATCAGGTTTTTACAGATGAATGTTCATAGGACAACATAGATTTACTAAAAAAAGAAAGGTTCTGTGGTACCTACCTCCTGCCATGTCATCAGGTCCATCATAGGATTTATCAATGGCAGCTCTGAAACTCTCGTTACATCCCCTACCACGGACCATGTGAGGCCTAGGCCTGTAGAATGGAAGCTCATTCTTTTTTACTTCAGCAACAGCTGTCTGGAGACTTTCTAGGGAACTCGACTTTTTTAATCCCAGGGTGGGGCCAATATCCTTACTAGGAGATTCTAAAGAAAGAGAACAATAATAAAAAACATCAAACTACCTAACTAAAGCTGTAACAAAGCTGCTTACTTGTCCAAGTTGTAAAGTAGAATTGTAATTAGTACACCATTATATTATAATGCTAAATCTTGAACCTACATAACTGGAAGTCACCTCTTGTACATAATTATGCAGAACTATGTAGTCTAGTAAATTAAATGTTAATCTCATAGGCACAAAAAACATAAACTATAAAAGTTGGGAGCATATTTAACTCAAAAATAGTATTACTATTGTAAAATATGAGGGAATCAAAACAGCAGGATCTAAACTTTCCCCAGGATCCTTAATATAATTTCACAACTGACATTGGCTTTGTTAAAACAAATGAATACTAGTTTCATAAAGAAAGTAACCCTCCTTCAATAATCACATAAATCCTATATATGTCCAAGTTTACTGGGGTATATTGAGAATTTTCTTTTAAAGGGATAAAAAGACTATTAACTTATTTCCAGGAATGTTTATGAAAATGACTCAAGTATTTTAATCCTCAACTTTTTGGCATAAATGCATTTGAAAAACCAAGTCATCTGCATAGGTAAGCTCCTCCACTGATATGTTTGAAGACTAAAGGGACGACATGGAAAACAGCAAAGGGTTTTTTTGAAGAATAAATGAAAAGTGAATTAGAGCAGTGGTCCCCAACCTTTTTTGTACCAGGGACCAGTTTCACTCAGAAACACTTTTTCAAGGACGGGGGGGGGGGGGGGGGGGGGGGGGGATACGGACACTTTGTCAGGGGGGGGGGGGGGGGGAGGAGTCCGAGTTTGGTGGTTTGCTTGCAGACGTTTCATTACCTGACTAGATAACCTAGTCGGGTAATAAAACGTCTGCCAGCAAACCACCAAGTTCAGGGAGCGCCAGTGCCTCCTCATTGCAACCCTGAGCGACAGATATTCTCTTCTATTGGGACAGTTAAAACGGAGGGTTTCAGCTGCAGATTCAGGAACTGCGCCGGGCTGAGGAGCGCCTTCAAAACTGAGCGCTGGGCGGCGGCGGCCCGTGGCTGTCTCTGCGGCTCAGGACAAGTCCCTGCAGGATGGCTGAGAAGCCCCGCCTCTCAGCCCTGCCTCCCTCAGCCTCATCCCTCAGGTGTCTCCCTCCCTCCCTCAGCCTTATCCCTCAGGTGTCTGCCTCGTTCCTCTCTCAGTCGCTCTTTCTCGCTCCTCCACCAGCCCAGGAAGAAACTGCTTCAAAGAAGCCGGCAGGGTGGCTTTTCCTGTCGGCGCAGCTCCTCCGAAGCACCCGTTCACCCCCACCCCGCCGCCCGCGGTTCAATCCAGTGCTCCGTTCTGCCTGCCTGCCTGCCTGCCTGCCTTCGTTTCTGGTTGTTTCGGAGTAGCTTCGGCTGAGTAAAAGAGGTGAATAGTTATTATTCTCAGCCAAAGCTACTCCGAAACAACCAGAAACGAAGGCAGGCAGGCAGGCAGAACGGAGCACTGGATTGAACCGCGGGTGGCGGGGTGGGGGTGAACAGGCGCTTCGGAGGAGCTGCGCCGACAGGAAAAGCCACCCTGCCGGCTTCTTTGAAGCAGTTTCTTCCTGGGCTGGTGGAGGAGCGAGAGAGCGACTGAGAGAGGAACAAGGCGGGAGGAAACTGAAGCCGCTGAGCCGGAGAGCAGTACAGGCTTTGGTTGCTTCCTCCCTCCCCTTCTTTCATTTGTGTCCTTGATCCCTGATCCCAGCAGCATTCACCGAAGGCGAAGAAAGCCGCCATTTTGATTTTATTTTTATTTTCTTTGCGGCCCGGTACCAAATGATCCATGGACCGGGACCGGTACCGGGACCGGTCCGTGGCCCTGTGGTTGGGGACCCCTGAATTAGAGGAGAAAAGGTCAGAAAAGGTGCTTGCACAAAAAGCTGCCCACAGAGAAACTAAAGAGCAGATCTACACAGCAGAAGTCATAGCGGGGAAAAAACAAAAAACAAAGAGATGCCCTTAAATACAGCTAGGTGTATTATTGTTAGCTGAACAAATCTCTCTAAGTGAGATTGCTAAAGGATTTCTGTATGCTATGTATACTTAGATTTTTTTTAGATTTTGTGTTTTCAGAAATCAACTTAATGGTCAAGGGAAGAAGATAATAGACCTGGATTGTTTACAAATCTTTCCCAATTCTTTCTAATAATTAGGGTCAACAAAATTTGCCTGAAGTGTCAAGAAGAGAGAGTCACTATATCAGGTATCTCCCAGATCAACAGCACTGCCTTTCTCAGACCATTTTTATAGGCAGCCATATTATACAGAGACCTGAAGGTGGGAACTGCTGACACTGCATTATGTCTGTAATTCCTGTTTAAAATGATTAGGAAGAACAATGTGCAAGAAAAGAGAAGGAGAAAGAAAAAATGATTTTTTTTTCCTATGAAGGAATATCATCTTTCTGGAAGATACATTAGTCACCTATTTGTGTGAAAATTGGTCAAAACAGTTTTATTTTCCAGAAATGAATTGAGGAATAATGAGTGGTACTATCTGATGATTTATTGCTGCACAAGTTATTTATTGCTATATTGTGGGTTTGGTTTTTTAGATTTTTCAATGGATGATTACATTTTATGTTTTTTTCATATAATTTACTGTGGCTATCTTAATTCTTTAACTACAGATTCTTTAACTAACCCACAAATAAACTAATAAACAACACTATGAAAAAGACTAAAAGAAAAGAAGCAAAGACTTAGGACTGGGGATGAAATCATAAACATCCATGGGTTGAGGGAGGGTGCCAAGTGATGAAACTCCGGTCACAATATTACAATATTGTAATATTACTTCTGTTCAAGTACAGAAGAATATAGAATATATCCTAATGGCATCATCACTGCTACTTTTTGCCTATAGTGAACAGTGGGTCAATAAATGTGCTGAAAAAAGATACCACAGTCCAGAAGCAGAAAAAAATAACATTAAGATGAGAAAAGAAAAGGGGCAGGATGATGTACAAAGAGCATTTTGAAATGGCTGAGATACGCAACACAAAAGGGATGGTTGCAGAATGCAGAATTAGCAAATGATAATTAGCTCACCCAAAGTTTCAAAGACTTTAGTGATGCAAAATAAAAAGAAAGATCATGATGGGATATAGAAAGAAATAGATCATGATGGGATATAGAAAGAAATGTGTGCAAGGAAAAAATGAGCATGCATAGGGGGATAAAAGACGTACTGGAAAGAATTTTCAGTTTTGTTTTCATATGTATTAGCTGTAATTGAAAGAATGGTGGCAATGTTGAATACTTTTCCAGTGTAGTATTTTGCTTTTAATGCAGACCTTACTGATTACTATGACAAAGCATTAACCACTCCCCCTACAGAAAATGGTTCCTCTCTCTTCTCAGTCTACTGTTTTCTTTTATTGCATGAACTGCATCACCCAGAAAAACTCATTCATATAAATTGGTGTATCTAAATGAAAATTATTAACACTTTTCAAAGGTACAAGGCACATAAGAAAATAAAGAGCTCAGAAAATGATAGATGGTAAGTAAAGAATGTAAACTGTACGTTATGGTTTTTGATGGAGAAAGACCAACCAAATACTTGGATTAATCCACTTGCTCTAAAAAAAATTAAACAGGCAAAAATGCATGCTGGTTGCTGCTTAATGAAGAATTTTGGAGCCTTGGGAGAATGATAGCTATTTAAATACAATACTAAATCTGGTGATATTTGCATGTTTGGAACTAAATACACAATGCCATAATGGGTAAATTAATTCAAGTAATTAATGAAACCAGGAGAGAGGCTGGAAAAGAAAGAAAAAGGAGAGCAAGTATTGCCATCCATAGTAAAGATTACTGACAAAGCAATTTAATTCTGCTGTCCTCTGGGACTTTGAGGGCTTGTACACAAAAAAGAGAGAGAAAAAATGAGAGAAACCAGTTTAAAGGGAACCTGGTTGCTAGGTCACAAAGTGCAAGCTTCCTTTGTTCATTAATTGTCATTGTGGAGACTACCATTATTGCCAAATTAGCAACTGCTGAAATGGACTGTGAGCACTGAAGGTACTTAAAATTAATAAAGGCATGAGCCTCAGTGAGAGGTACAGCTGTGCCCATTTGAGGCTGAAAAGGAACAACAAACAATAAGAGAAAAATCAGTAAAGAAGGCACAGCTAAAATAAAAGATTTTCTGATCAGTAGAGGAAAAAGGAAGGTTGCTTTCTAGTGAGAAAACAACTTTGATTGCTAGCTTTCAACAAGAAAACCACTACCTGGCTCTAAATATAGGGTTCTCTTGTAGTGCTTAATCCATACAAGGTCTCGGTTTTGGGCTTGAATTCACAATTTAGGTTCATTTTTAGGAAACACATTTCAGAGAAACATGGATGATAAATGGATGACCCCTAAGTAAGGAGAACTTATATGCACATGCATAAAATATATATGAACAACGTAGCATAAAATTGTTCAATCCAAGTAGGAAAAGAGGATGGAAAAAGAAAGCACAACTGCATCCCCCACTTTGTAAATCCTGCTATTGGTACTGCTCTAGTTGTCAAAAAAAAGCAAGCCTTCCTTGACTATATTTTTATCACGGCAAGCTCACAAAATAGACTTAAATCTAGGTTAGAATCTTCTCCTTCCCCAACCTGTGGGGCCTGTGCTGCCCTCACATACCCTGTTTTGGCTGCCAGTGGCATCACGGGCCGATTCTTTGCTATTTCCAGGCCAGCTCCATGGGCCAGATTTAAGCACCCAGTTCCGGTCCATGGGCCTTGAATTTGACACCCCTGATCTATAGCACCTTGACCATTATACTACACTGCTCCCCATTTTGCAATGCTTGGGCTTTGGTGTGTGAAAATTAAACTCCTGCATGGAATGTCCGGGCCCAGGAAGAGACCTCATTATCTTCCTCCCCCACTTAAATGTCTGTAATGTGTGTATTCACCATGACATTCTCCCTAAGTCTTGTAAGAAAACAAAACAAAGCAAGAACTGTATGCTTAGTTTG